TCTATAATATTGCGCAGAATATTCTATTGGTGTTACTTTAATTTTAAACCGAGTACGTATAACATATGCAGTTAGGTGTTGTAGTAATATTAGATTAGATCTGTATAGGTTAATGAACAGAGTATTTAAATAGGTAATTTACAGACAGGTTACAGATATAATAGTATAGTGTAGAACAATTAGATAATCTAATATTTATATAACAGACTACTTAAAATAGACAATGACTAAAGTTATATACTCTTCATATAATTACAAACAGTAAAGATTATTAATATATAATCCTGTTTGCAACTCTAATAAAATTCTTTTGGTAATATAAGCTATCTTTAATAACAAAAAAAAAAAAATAAGAAATTATAGTTTATTAGAAATATAGATAAAATTTTTATATGTTTTAAGCTTCTATATAGTACTACTCTTGATTATACTCGTATATATAAAGTTAGTATTTACACAGATAGTTACAAAAAAACTAGTTTTACTATTATACTTTCATATATAGCAAATAGTATAAAATTATCACTATCATATATTTTTAAATTAACAAATAAACTATATAAGAATTTTTTTTTAGGTATAAAAATTCAATGTAATAAAAAAGGATATATAAATAAGAAAATGATGCTATAGTAGATTAAATATATCTGGACAACTAGAAATATATTTAAAAATTCAAGATCTCTTTTAATAATAAAATTTTTTTAAAGACACTTAATAAATCTAGTAAAAAAATTGTCTTACAAAAAAAGCAACAAATATTGCTATTATTCTAGGAAGTTTTAACTCCAGAATTTAGCTATTAGATATTGTAATCAATAAGAGCTTTAAGGCAAAAGTAAGTTTATATTTTATTTTAAATTTTAATTAATACAAAAAAATTATTATTTAGATTCGTGAATATTATAATAACTAGACAAACTGTAATAATTCAGAATATACTGTAGCAACTTGGGCTTAAAATACTTAACTCTAAATACTTATTTACAATTAATTAAATCACTTAATACCCTTCAAATAGAGCGTGAGTATAAAGATGATTATTAACGTTAATTAATAGAATTAAAATTATGAACATAAATACTTATTCATAAATATTATACTATTAATTAATTATTTAATACCTTTCAAATCTTTTCTTTATAATTTAGTCGGTGAGTATAATTATAAAAATTAAAATAGATATGAGAGAAATAATGATATAGAAAATTTTATGATTTCAAAGGAATCCTGAAAACTGTAAATGTACACACTGTAATGAAATAATACTCGACCTGCACGGTGTTTACATGTGATCCTGACATCACTGCGAACAAGTAGAAACAAAGATATTGCAGAGAATTTCAACTTAGAGCTTATAAATATGATGAAGTGATTGAATGGATTCAATTTGACAGATTATCTGATATTAAAAAAAAAATTGTTCAGCAAATACGTATGTAGGAATACGTGAAATATCCAGTACCGTTGCATATCGCTATTTTTTGTAATTTACATATTAAATATTATTTTTATTAAGAATAAAGAAATTTTTTTTAGATTTGTCTTAAAGTCGATTTTGTTCAAATTAATAATTTGTAAAGGTTTAATTAGATAAATTATAAAAATAAAGTTAAAATAAATTATAAAAATAAAGTTAAAATAAATTTAAACGTAAATAAATATTCTGAAGTACTATGAGATACATCTATCTAATTAAGAACCGGAACTGATCTCTAGCTATTTTAATTAAGTATTATGAGTATTTCAAGAATGCAGTCCTTGTAAAGTTCCAAAAAACAGCTCTGGTTCAGATTTGTCATTTTTAGGACCAATGCAATTTTTAATTGCAAGTTTGACTTGAATATTTTTTATGCTAGCAAAGTAGATTTAAATATATTAAACCTTTCTAAAGTTCGATGAAAATGCTTAAATTTAACGTTTGTGTTGCTCTCTTTGTACTTCAATTGCAAAAAAATTTTTTTAGGTCAAATATGTATTGGTGAATTTCGTCCACCATAATAGATATCAAGGAAAATTAGGTTGACATATTTTAGATGATATTTTGTAAAATTTAACGGCACAAATTCTCTGTTTTATATTTTGAACAGTTGAGATACCGGATATTTTTATATCGATATAACTAGAGTGATTAAGTATATCTTTATCATACACAATTCAAAACCTGTCAATTTCAACTTAAGTAAATACCTTTTACAATAAATTCAAATTATTTCGTTTATCATGATTTATTCAGTACAAATGTAATAGTTATATACTGAGTATCTTGGGTATAAAAGGTTAAAATACCTAAACACGATCGAGATACTCTAGTATTTATTGATTATTTATGGGATCACTTCCGCGATCATGTTTAGGGATACGTTACCGAAATTACATGACAAATACTTTTTGTTTCAAAGAATACTTGTACGAAGCGTTTATTTTGAATTTTAAATATAATATAAATAATTTTAATTTAAAATTCCAAATACGAACCAGCAATTTTTAAGTGTTTAGTGAACTAATGACCTTTTGAATATTCAGTGAATTAAAATTTTTGAATGTATCAGGCTTTGAATATATTTCTTTAATTATAATTTATTTATATATTTCAACAGAGTTTTGATAGTCGGAACATCCAAATTATATTGAGAAGCTAATTTTTCTGGTGTCCATTCATCAGGAGCAAAATTTCTTTTTTCCAACATTTCTCGCAATTGATCCACAGAAATTCTATTTTGTTGCAACATAATTTCATTCTCTTTAAGTTCTTTTTGTCTATGTTTAAGAATTTTTAACATTTCATCAGACTGTTCCGGGAAGAATTATAATATTTAGATTAAAAAATAAATAAAACATAGATATTACATTTAATTTAAAATAAATATTTTTACTTGTTTAAATGGTAATGGAACTTTTGATAAAGTTATTTGACCAATTTCATGTAAATTATTTAATAACTGAGGATCTTTACCATCTTCTTCAATTACTAATAAATAAGAAAATTAAAAAATAAAATAAAAAAGTATAATTTAAAAATAATGTATAATATTATAAATACGAATAATTACCAACATTTGTTACGGGTTACACTTGCTAGAATTTTATGAGAAGATGTTGCATCATTTAAATTATTTTTGTTTTGAATTTTAGCATGTGTTTCTACCGCACTCGATTTAACCTCTGAAGCAGCTTGTGGAAATTTTCTTTGCACTTGTTTCGATCCTTGAACACCCATTAAATTAAAGTTTAGATAAGATTATTTGTAATACATTCGTACTTTATCATCACCTAAATTAGATTAATGAAAATGATGTCATAGATCTTTTTTTTTTATTGGATATTCGATATCTGATATAGTGTATACGTACGCATGTACTGTACGTACAATTGTCCTGCTTTCTTATTGGTCGTTAAATACTATACGTATACAGTATTTAATCTTTTCAAACAATGCATTTGAGGAAATGCTAAAAGTTGTTGTTTTCTTTATTATTATTATTATAATTCATCGAAAATATAATTATGATATATTTTTTTATTAATAATTATATGTACAGTACATTTGTATTTTTTTTTTTTTTTTTTTTTTTTTGAATATTTAATGTTTTAGGAATTTTTATACTCACTATTATGAGTGAAAGGATTTAATAAATACCTATGTTTAGTGGAATTAGGGCCAATATTAGATATTGGTTTGAGGTTAAAGAAGTTAGGCAATTATTATATGTAAATTTGTTTCCTAAACATATTAAGGCAGCCATTTTTCGCTTCTTCGTCGAGCTGATCAAATTTAATTAGTCAATCTACTGCATATGTTATACGTACTCGGTTTAAAATTAAAGTAACACCAATAGAATATTCTGCGCAATATTATAGAATGAATCTTTATGAAATTGAGTTGAAAGATGACCTATAAGAAAATCTTTATGAATTTAAATTATCACATATAAGTTGATACAAACTGAAGATGCTTTGTTACGGTAATGATATCTAAGGTTGATCCGAACAATCCGAAACTAACCCGATAATATATTGATCATGACTCATCTAATAGATTTATTATAACCGGATTGGTTTCGGGTTGTCCGAGCGAAGCACTAATAATATCTAATAAATAAGAGACAGATTTAATTTAATTTCTTTTTTTTAGAGAACAAAGAATTTATTTTTATGCGCCCATTTTAATTCAGGAACTACTCCGATAAATTACTAGTAAAACCTTGGCGGTGTTTAAATTTTCACTGTACCCCTGAAAATTGATATTATCTATAGAAGTGATACTGATAAAATGTTACAAAAGTTACACATACTATCGAAACGACTAGAACACTAATAATTTAATTACAATTATTCCAGTTAAGCCCCGATACAACAATGAAAACGTAAATATTCACTTACAGGTTTTAACTTGGCAAAATAATTTATTAAATTATGCAAAGTTAATTAGGTATGTGAAACTAGCTTGCAATTTATTTTATGCACATTTTATGAACTTTACCCAATAAACCGACCTGAGATCATCTCTCGACACAAATAATTTACGGTTAATAGATAATTTTTACTTAAATATTTAATAACCATTTATATAAAAGTACTTGGCTTTAGCGAATCTCATATTAGCAGATTAGATTTCTAAATACATATGATCTTTTAAAGAACTAGATACATTTCTTCGATGATCAAATTATCAGAATTTAAAAATAGACTGTCAGGGTTTTATAATGTTCTGGGAGGATATACATAAATCAGATTATGTAAGAAACGGAAAATGCCAACATTAGATTCCATCACAAAAGGCTAATGTAATATATCTTGACGTTTAAAAATTGTAAAAAATGCTCTACGTATGCGCATTTGACTTAACGTTAAGCATTGTTTATCATTTTGCATTTATATAGTTAATGCATATTAATTCGTACAGTATTTACATTTATAGAAATCGCGCCTGAATTTAAAAATGCACTGAATTGGATATATAACGATAAGGAATAGATTTTATCTGTGTATTTTTTTAAATTATCTTTAAATGATTATAAATTTTCTTTAACCTCTAAAAAAAGATTTATTTTTGGTTCTCATATAACTTCTTTTTTTATTGGCTACTGACAAATATAGCTGGTAAAAACGAAACATTCAGGATTTTTACCTAGCAAAAAATGAACAATTAATGAACAATTAAATAATACAAATTACAAGATGACTGTCGGTTATCACATAAATAAATTTCGACTCTTAAAAGCTTTTCAACTTTTGGTTACAATTATTTGTGGTGTTCTAGGTATTCGGTTATATTGGATAAACAAAGAGAAAATTATGTTGTAATCTCATTTTTTATTTTATTTTTTTTTTTTAACAGAGGCAGCTGAATTCATTGCATACTCAAATTACGTTGATAATGTAAATTCATCAAAATTATATAATACTCGACTTTCAAAATTACAATATTTTGAAAACACACAAATGTAAGTACTATTTATTATAGTACAATTAACGCCACAATTTCTTTATTTTCTAGTTTTTTTGTTCATAGCTAAATTTACAATTTTAATTAATTAGAATTGATGGAAGAGTTAAGATATGGTGCTATATTGTGATAATTTTTACAGTAATCGGATTAAGTAAGTAATTTTGTGTGTCAAATTAATATTGTGTCATATTAAACTTACTAATGAAATCTCTGGGATAAATTTTTGTCTGACACAAATTTTACAACATAAATACTATTTTATTTAATTTATTTATTATTTGGTGATTTATTTATATACGCCTTCTAAACTTTTTCATCTTTTCTCAGCTACTTATTTATGTAATATTAGATTACTATGGAATTCACTGACTTGGTGGTATATACTTGGTGTTGAATTGTTTGTATTTTTTTTTTTGTTCTTTAAAAATTTAATAAGGTTTAATTAAAAAAAAAAATGATGAACTTATTTTATTTATTTGTTTATAATTATTAGATTATTCTTCTTATTATATTTATCAGCAGGTAACTTACATATATATTTAATAATTTCATAATATTAGATATATATATATATATACTGTATATGTAACTATTATTATTCCTTTATTCAGGTTTAGCAAACCTTGATCCCTTGTACACAGGATCAAGCATCAACTTAAACTGTAACTTAGTCTCCTCTGTCATAAACCCCGTAGTAATTAAAATAATGGGTTGGGCTAATTTTCAATGTCAATTGGCTTTAGCAAGTTTATTTGTTTGTTGGGTAAATATAGGTTTACTTCTATTATCTTTACTCATTTCTTGCCGTAGATCTAAAGAGTTACGTTTGGCTATAACACCAAATTCAAATTTTAATAATGAACTTGGAGGTACTATTGAAGAATTTCCGGCTGTTACAAATGAACATGTGTATGTTACTGATCATGAACCGGTAAATATTTAAAAAGAAAAAAAAAAAGGATTAGAGTACATACGTCTGGCTAAGAAAAAATATCATCACTATAGCTTAAAATTTATTAATATTGTAATTTAAAATTCTTTATTATATGAATCTTTGTCTCAATAAAACCTTATATGTATATATTAATGTATAATTTATATAATTTTTTTGTAATTAAGAATATTTTGCATTTTAGGCTTTATAAATAAAATAGCAGGTTTAAAATTGTATTGACCAGTCTATATTAGAGATGTTAACAATTTTGTCTAGGCGTTATTCAACTAACCATGTACTTGGGGTCTTTCTCTAACAGTCTTCACTCGCTTGACTTTATTTCAGGGCTGGAGTATCGTACTAAGATTTCTTAGATTGACAGTGTTTAACAACTTATGATCAATCAGATCTACCATTCTTTTTTTACATAGTATACATTAAAATTTTTGAAATAACCAGTACATATATCGATCACGCCATTGATAATATCATGACCTAATCCCAGAACCCGACGCCACGAATACCTGGGTACTGATCATCGATACCAAAATTGTGGCATTACGTGTCCCGAGGATAATAACAAAAGCACGTGGCCGAAAGCCACGTGCGTTGTTATTATTCTGTTGATACCGTATTCGTCACCATCATGCCGGATAACTATGGCAGGTATGACGTATACACTTACGGAAAAAATTGATATTATGCTGCAGATTTTATATTAAAATAACCCAGAATTTGTCAGATGATTTTAATATTAACCTGCAGAAATATTTTCCGTCAATGTTTACATAGTATCTGCCGAATAAAACACAATACCCTCATTTACTTTTGCAAAATTTAACCATTTTAATACCAATTGATTCGTCTCGATGAGACGAATCGAATGGTATAAAAATTGTTCAATTCTGATCGATAGATCACAGGTATTCCAAGATTTCTCTTAATTACACCACAATACCCCCATTTACCTTTTATATGTATATATATTATTTGATTAAAAGAACAATTGATTATTCTAATTGTAGAAACCTTTTAATCAGCGTGTATTCTATTGAAAAGTTCTATATTTAAATATATGGGTTTTCTTTTCCTTACACCCATAATGTATACGTACTGTACCATTTAAGTGTTGTCATAACAAACAAGAATTTAAATTTCATTGAGCTGGCCTTAATCCTAACACATTTGATTGTTCGGAGCGGAGGATATTGTTTTACGACGGTGAGCAATTCCGTCTGTTCAACTACCTCAGCATGATTAACAAAAAACTCGAGCAAGTGATTGGCTGTGAATGTGAACCACCTCCAAAAATTCTGCACACCAATTAAATTGTTTTGCCAATAAGGGGTTTCCAAATTAAAAATCAGACACCTATTTCAAAAGAAGTAATTGAAATATTTGTTTCAAAATAAGTGATATATATCGGACATATTCTATTTTATATTAAGTGTAATATAAGATTATATTTGTCAATAGCACTATTTATGGATGATAAAAAAACGTTTTAAATCATTTTTATACGTTTTTATTGTTTTAAAAAAATATTAAAACTTTGTGAAATTTAACTTAAAGCTAAGATTAGTTAATTTCAAGCTCTGCATTTCTTTGATCGAAACAACTGTCTAATGATAAAATCAAATTGCATCAATTAAGTAATAATGTATTAAAAAACGTATTACACCATTTTAAAACCAACAAACTTTTTTTTAAAAAAATCCCATTTTTAAACAGTTACCATCCCTAGTGCTTTTACAATTGTTATTTATTTTTTTAAATTACATCATCATTTTCCGATTTCAAAGTTTTAAAATATAAATATGATTTTTTAAACTCCTTATTTTCGAAAAACGAAACTGACAGTAGTCGCAGTTTAATATACTAAACAAATATTACTTTAGGGTCAAGGTAATTACCAGAAATGTCTAATATTAAAGTAGTGTTTTTACAAAGTGCTACTGTTATAATAAAAGTGATTATTTGATCAAAAATTGTAAGCCCAATAATGAATCGCTTATAAATCGTTTATGAATTTTACTTATAAATTTTTGCACGTATGTACCTGATTGTAACCTAATTACTTACAAATTTTTTTGTACGTATATAACAGATATGTGACAAAATGTTTGTATATCTGATTACTGTTGGAATGTAAATTAGTGTCTCGTTATAAGTCACGTTTTTCATTAAATTATTTCTTTTCTTTTATTTATCATTTATTTATTTGTTATTCTTATTTAAATTATACTTTATATAGTTATTTATTTATTAGACTGCTTATTTACGTTTAAGAATCGTGATAATAATTTATATAAACATTAGGGTGAGCAGTGTGGCTAAAGCGTATACTGTATCCAATAAGCCCTAAATGGATGAAATTGTGAGCAGTGTGGCTTCGTGTTACCTTAAAATGGCTTAAACACAAGCGAAGCAACTGATCACGAAGGATTAAATCGTTAAAAGAATTAAGAAAGAGAATAATCCTTAAATAACATAGCCTTCGTGAACAAAACTGTATAAATATAGGGTTCTTTTACCTTCTGAAAGGACAGTGATCGATTACGTTTTAATTAAATAAATCACTATTACTTAAACCCGAATCCTTAACTTCTCAATTATTAAAAATTAACTTAGCTTCGCTAAATAAATAATCTATTCCTCACCACGTTATGCAGTACAATATTGTCTTTTAATAATTAATATTCACTAAGTCTCTTGATTAACATAAAGGAAGTAAGAATTGAGTCCGAATAGACCTTTCCCTGAGTAATTAAGAGCCGTATATTGTACGATTATATAGTAGATATATATATATATATATCACGAGTAACGAGGATTATTAAGTAAATCAGTTAATTACTTAGATCAGACGATTGATTAATTATTACGAACATTATTAGTGAGATAGTGATTACGTATTGATCATTTTTAAGTTATCTAATTAAGATTAAAGCCACCCTTATAGATATTATAATACTCCTTAAACTATCACCCCCTTCCGGCCAACCACCATTAGGGCTGTTAAAAGTCCGATCCTTTCAGTCCAGACTTCGATTAGGACTTGGTCCTTGAGTCGAGTCCATACATGTAATAATCAAATAAATCTCGATATAAATTAGCCAA